AAAAAAGTATGCTTAGAAGAACAGAAATAAATACATGCCGATATATCAATCATGGAATAATATTTTATTACCTCAAGCTTAGGCAAACAAGCAAGATAGTTGTCGCTACGATAGCAAAAAATTGCGAAATTCATTAACTTGCTTACAAAAAGAAAATCTCTGGTGATTGTCAAAAGCTCGAAGTGACCTGAAAACAGAAAATCACCTTTCCTTTTAAGTGTCTAAACTGTTTAAATTCACTCTTTATCTTTTCTTTAAAACAAAAAACCTCTAAGGTGTAGCATCAGAGCCGCTGCTTTCTAAATTTTAAATTTGCAGAAGGATACGTAATAACGATTTTCCTGATGAATCTTTCGGCTTTTTAAATTGATTTAGACTCTTTGCTAACAGGATACAGGTCCGTAAACTAAGAGATCCTTTCCATAGAACAAGCATTCTCCTAGCAACCTTTCACGCTGCAAAATCATACCAATGCAATGCACTATTTCGAACTCTCAAGCATGTTCACTACTCTCACCGAACTGTACAACTTTTTCTTGATTACTGCCTGGAAACTTCTCCTAGATTACTTACTCGAAACAACGAAGAAGTTTTCTTCATCTTATCTTTATTAGTTTCGGTGAGACAGCAACTCTGTCTGGTCACTAGTTTTTTTTTTTTCTTTTTTGTTTTTTTTATTGATGCTTTTACCTCGCAAGATGGTTACACCGGCAGAAAATCTTTGAAAATATTTTTACTTCATCTCCTCTGCCGTCCCTCTTCAGCCTTTATCCTGTGTAACCAATCGTCCATGACACCTTCCAGAATTGTTTTAGGCGCTCCTTCATTGGACAAGTTCATTTTTCCCTCTTTTGTAGCAGTTATTCTAACATAGCGAATCTCATTTTCAGAGAGATCTTGCTTGATATAACTTAGCCTTTGAAAACTTTAAAAAGTTCATTCCACTTTTAAAAGTTTGTTACTCTCAACTACATGTTGCGATAAGTGAAAAAAGTCTACCATTTTACCAGTTCGTTCCGAACGCTAAAGCTCATAAGACGACTACTCAATTTTAATTACATCTTCTTCCAAAAAAAAATAACTAAGTTATCAATAAGAACAGATAATGAAATGATATGCTACAAAATTTTCTACTCATCAGCTGTGCCATAATTTCTTGTAATCTAATACACTGTAGTCAGACAAATACTTAAAACCTTTTCTAAAAAACCATTCAAAGGTGCCTGCAAGTCTTGTAAACAAGAAAGAATAAGAATCAATCACTAGGCACAAAATTCACAGCGTAAGCTTCGCATGTTGCTTCAGCAAAAAATACCATGCACCGTCTCGTTCCGGGTTCTCTCAAACAGTCAAAATTTCTCCCGTCTTGAAAAAGCGCTGTCCAAAAGTAGTAACTGTCCGGTAGGTGTCAACAAGTGCAGTGGAAGAACAAATTTAAGGATGCAAATAATTCTGCCTTGCTAACCAGTCATAAAACCAAGTAAAGATATGTCAACACGGTATGTCATCATTTCTGATGGCTTTAATGAACGTGTGGATCTAGTTACAAATGCGAACTACTTTTGGACATAACCTATAGATGATGAATGCAGTTAACCATCCGTGTCAACATAACGAAACCATAGTGCCACTAATAAAGTAACCACAAATGTTTGCAGTACGCATTACTACCTAAATCAAAGACCTTTCAAGCCAGGAACCACCTTCCACTGGAAGAGCAGACTTGTATGTTGTGGAAGTTTGAACCTTTCCCCGACGAAGTATTTTAACGCAGATGCAACTCTATAAAGCTCTATATACTGTATATACAAGTAGAGAGAATAAGATTTTTTGGCATCGATTCAACGTGTCTCGATTGGACTGGGAAATTTGAATGATTTATTGGCGTTACCGGTGCAAACGTTGCGACAATGATTCTTCCAGAATTCATCCTTGTTCTGTATGCTTGATTGCATGCATATTTCCATTTAATAATTGCACTTTTTCAGACTGACGCTTACATGTTGCTGTTATTAACCGCTTAATTGCTGCTCAATTGTGTACAGAGATGAGAAAACCGACTCAACAATTGTCCCCTGCTAAAGTTTGTAGTTTTATTTTTACTGTGTCATTTTCTGTTGTTTTCTTATTATTTCTCTAATATTTTTTGCTACTTAAGATGAAAACAGTTTAATCCCCAATTTTTAGTTGCTTTTTTTTTTGGCAGAAATACTCCTTAGCTAAGAACCCCTAAGAATTGATTGAGAGATGCATTTACTAAACTTTGTTCTGCACTATTTTCAACTAAAATTTTTTGATTTAACCAAAGTATTTATTTTGAAAAATTAATTGTCCCAACTTCTTAGACAGAAGAGGTACAAAAAAATGATATAAAAGATGCCCGCGACGAAACTGACCATTTTTCTAATGTGCGGCCACTGCGGAAACGTAAACAGATTTCTTACCGTGATACAATTAGACCTATCCCGACGACCAAATTAGAAGTAATGTTACTGGTTTACAAGGGAAATATATTTCTAAGGATCATTTTACTTTAAATTTCGTGCTTTTATGGACCTTTCGGAGAAAAAATTTTTTCCTGTTTCGGAAATCACAGGATAAAATACTTTGATATTTTAATGCGGCAACGATTACTTTGGTTTATTTTGCTTCTGTTAACAAGTGCATTCCTTTTAGATTGTTTGTAGCCCTGCACCAGTTGATGTTAGGTCAATACTTAGTGCAACGCAACGGTCAGCAAAGCAGATATCGAAGAAAGCGAAGGTTTATAAAAGAACTGAGAAAAACGTAACGTTTGCCACTGAACCAACCAAAGTGGTTGACATTACTCCTCGTTCAGAAAAACAAGCAGGAGTGATAAACATGCCTGAATCACCACCATTTCCATACTCGGTATGTAATTTTTCAAAGTTGTTTGGGAAATAGTTTCTTCTTAGTTCTCAGACCTCTTTTTGCGTTTCATAAATGTTATTTTTAGAATCTCGTTTAACTGTATCGAAATTGCAAGCTACTTTTTGTTCTAATCAAATAGCGGCGTTTTTGTTTGACACATCTATTTTATCAACAGTTTTTTGCTCTAAAGCTTTATTGCTTGATTCTTAAAAACGGCCTATGTTATTTCAATTAATGGCCTATTCTGTTATTAACTGGGTTATGTTATGCCCTTTTTAAAAGCTGCAGAAGAAGTTTAACTCTTTCAATTTCCTTCTTAAAAATTGATCTATTTCACATGGTGAAACACCATTTAATTTTCTCCTTAGGTCTCGTGCTTAAAATAGTAGTTTTTTATATTCGTTATAGGATTGCGAAGCTTATAATGAATACTAATCTGTCTGTGGTAAATTTTAGGGGCCAAGTAGCATTATTTAATACAGTGACTTATGTAATAAATCCTGAGGTTGTTCCTTAATTTATTTAGAGGACTACATTTTTTAACCTCCTCGTTCGACACGATATTGTAAGCGATGGTCATCCGATGAGAAACGAGTACATCAAAGGGGATGCTGAATTAAACGACTTGGGAGTTCCTTCTGGTAAGTGCGTCTGTTATTAAGATGGTAGATTTTAGTAAATTTTTTTTTTTTGCTCTTTACGTGCTCTTTCTTTCTTGGAG